TAATCACAGCAGTCCTATGATTAACGAGAATACAACTTTAAATGGTTTGGCAGCCCTCTAACTATAGTGTTAGAAATATGAATTCAAATTTTACATGGATGCTCACCTGGGATTACATTTGAAAAAAAAAAGGAATATAATTTAGATAAATAATAGCAAGAATTTGCAGCTCAAACTAATACTCTTGAAATGTCTTGAAAACCACAAAATTCAAAATACAAAAAATTATAACTGGAGTCCTAAACCGTTATCTCATCCTGGGCAACAAAATGTCTGCCCTCCGAGTTGGACGGACACACACTCAATAAAAAGCTGGAAGAGTCCCAGGTGCTTTATAGCTGCCCTTTCTCTTCTTTCTCTGTTTTCCTTTCACCAACGTATGTACAGTATAGAACAAAGCCCACTCAGCGGTCAGCGATCAATGGAGCTTTGTGTCGCTCGGAACTGAAACCGTAGCCCCTGGATCAGTTTGTGCGTGTGTAACGAGCTTTCCTGACGTCCGCAGGTGCTGGTCTTTGTTAAAAACCTGTAGAATCGGTTAACACTCGTACGTCTAGACTACAGATTGAATCAATACACCGCAGGTGATTTAATTCATTGAATTTTACAGTGCTGGAAATTCATTAGTTCTGTTGTAAAAAAAGAAGGGTGGACATTTTTCAACCTTTGCCTGTAGAATTTACAAGAAGTGAGTTGGGTGAGTTTGGTAGACGGAGATGGTTGCGGTTGAATAAGAGCCTAGCAATTATGGGATCATGGTTACAATTTACAGAGGTGACGGTAATAGTTGTGGTTACGGTCTGTATGAGTCAGCGAAAATATCTGGTCCAGAACAGTTTAGCCAGTCTCTGCTAGACCTGTGGTTGTCACCAAACGTTGATGCAGTTGGAGTGGACAATGTTCAGGTGATGATTGCTCCACTCACATATTTACCACACACACACACACACACAAGAGCACTCTTCTTCTCTCCCATGACAGTCAAACCTCACACTTGGTGCACCAATCATCTCTCCGCCGCAAGTGGTTTAGGAAATGCTTGGCAGTCTGGATCGACGAACGTAGCACATAAGGGAAATGGAGACAGAGCACCTCAGACCTCACCTCCTCAGTGCTGCTGATTTCATTAAGGTGTAGACAGAGTTCGGAAAGTGTGTGTTTAGCTTGGGCTCATCTCGGCCGTCTGTCTCTATTCTGCTCGCCGGGCGGGACGCTTGAGATACTGCTGAGAACAATAGTTGGAGGATGTTGCGTCTGCACTGGTGGCCCGCAGCGTTCATAGTTTAGTATTTCTGTCGAGTGAAAACCGCTAACCGACCTCCATTTTGTAAAGGCACCAACAGTTTTACATTTGGTTTGCTGTGAAGTATTTAACTGTAATGTAAATAAGAGACCCTCAAAGTCAGAGTGTTAATTGTGAAATTGAAAACAAAGCAGCCGTGAATTACTTCCTGTTTGTCTTTTAGAAACAAAACAAAGCAGATACAAAGCATGGGGAAGAACAGAGTTTCAAAAATAAATAACAAACACCAAAAACTAGGAAACTAAAAGACTTCTGCAGCAAATGGCTCAGTGTTTAAAGGTCTGGACTTGCGTTTGTAGGATTGCCATTCCCATTACCAGCAACTGGACTGAGGTTTGTTGAACGAGCACAAAAAAAACTCCCCTGCTAAACTTGTGAGTGTGGGACAGGGTTGGATGCAGAGACTGCATTTCCAAAACAATAACAGAGTAATTCTAACAATAACTCTAAACAAATGTTACAAAAAGAACAGACCAGATGAAGGATAAGGAAATGTGAACACATTCACACCCATCCAAACAAATAAAACAGCATAACTACGTACCTCCACGTTCAACCATTGTAAGATTGATTCTCACCAAGTCTGGAGAACAATGAAAACCAAGACATTAATGTTGTGAACAGAGCCTGAAGCTGAGGTCCCAAACTCGAAGGCGGCGGGCCACTTCAGGCCCGCAAAGCCTCAACATCTGGCCCTTAAAGTATCCTTCTTTATAATTAGTTAGTCATTATTATTGATTATTATGTGGCCCTCAACGTGGCGGCAGTGGCCCATAGAGACCAATAGCCTAAAGCAGTGATCATCAACTGACAGCCTGATGTCAAGGTACATAAGAAGGTCAGAATTCAGTGAAGGTTTTTAAAACCCTAACTAATCCATCATTAGTGTGTAGCACATCTACAGTTATAGATAAAACAAAAAGTAAAACACGTCCAACTGACTGTATCGACTCAACAAAAATACAAGAACCAAAGTTCTACAAAGCACCGAAAACAGTAACACCATCAGTTTCGTGAACGTGGACACAACATGTAGCGTTCAGTAATTTGACAGCAGCTTGGCAACAGGAACAAAGTGGTGACTATAAGAATGCAACGGTGGAGCTGGCACTGCCCGTTTTACAACTCAGAGTCTCAGACTCTCAGCTATTTCCCTCTTTAATGCGCTCTTTTTTTCTTTTCTTTTTTTGTTTCTTTCATTGTGAAATTTTGGATGCCATACTATAACGTGTGTGGGGATTTCATTTCTCAGTAAAATCTGTTTCATATAAAGTGTCACGTCGGCTGCCAGACAAGGCTTTTTCGCTGTAATTTTGGATGCAGCTTATGTTTTATGACTAAGGGAGTCTTTGATTCACCATCAGCTCCTTTGTTCTCCTACTCCTGGTTTTTGCTTTGTTTTCAAATAGGTGGATTTTATGTGTAAATATAGGGAAGTTAATGATTTGAGTATTTGCAAGACGCCCTGCGTGACCAATCACCAGAAGGCCATTGTGTTCTCATGCGTACTGAAAGTGTGCGTTTTGTTTCATGGTGTCCTTGTGTGTGAGAGAGCATGCACAGCTCTGGGTCCAGCAGTGGTTCGTGGTGAACAGCCAGAAAGGGTTGCTTGAGATTTTTTTTTTTTTTTAAAAAATGTCTGTCGAGCATTGCAACGAAAACATTTGATAAACAGATTGTTAAAGTCTGTGAACCCGCCGTCTGGGTCTGATCGCTGCTCGTGCGAGGCTTGTGTGTTGTGTTTTTGTGTGTACTTTTGGTAGTGCTCAGAGCGTGATGCCTGTTGAATAGTGGGCATCCAGAACTGCCTGTAAAATTACTTCTTCACCAAAAACCGCAGACCCCCATACCAGACGAGACGGCGTGCCAGCCAGCCAGCAAGTCGGCCAATGACCAAACACTTTTGGTTTCCACCCTGTTTATGTCCTTTCACTTCTTTGTCTTTGCTTTTGTAAGTTTTTTTTTTTTTTTTTTACAGGTTGCGCTTTGGTGGGAAACGGTAACGCTTCATTCTCCAGTAACTCAAACACGCCTAAACTGATTCACTTAATGACAAAATAAAATGCTCCATAACCCAGACAAACATTTTGGTAAAGCACAAATTTGACCGCACGGCTACGTGGTTGCGATTAGGACCAATGTCAATGTGCACACAGCGTGGTGATGGACTCACCTCACCCAACGTCTGCTCTGACATCTGCTTTCAATTAACTGCAGTGTGTAATTTGATGTGATTTTTCAAATTGGAAATTGTCAGATTGTTTTCAAATTACAAAACGTCAACCCATGTTTATTTAACTCCCGCGCCTCAGAATAAATCTACAGAGAAAAAGAGATGGAGCGGGCTCTAACTAAATCCTTAGTGAGCTAACCTCACTGGTTCGGAACCCTGCACGCACACAGTACTGAAGCTGTCACCAAAATTCAACTTTAAATAAATTTCACACGTCACAGTATTTATTCACCCATATCCTCATCCAACCCACAAGTCTTTGCAAATGCAGCTCACAATACATCAGTGTCTATCTTTTCCTCGAGTGTACGTCTGAATACCTGCCCCTGTACGGTATTCCTCTGGACCGCCAACCTCATGTTGAAATCTGTATCTGTTGTTCTTGTGCAGGATACTGTGGTTTGGACTGGTGAAAGCAGTGGCCACATGTTCAGGACAATAACATCCAATGGTCGCTATCTTTATATTTGACACACGGATGAAGAAGGTCAAGTAGTTTGTTTTTAGTGCTCTCTGCTGCAAAACCTCACTCTCAGGATGTGTGTTTTGAATGTGAATGGTTACAGTCTGTATTTCTGATTTGTATATTGGTCCTTGGTGTGAATGTGAGTGTGAATGCTGTAATTGGCTCCTGCTCTTTTATAAAACCAGAACAGGATTAAGGGGTGAAAAATAGATAGAAGGATCGATTCTTGACCAGTTAAAGTAAATTTTAATGTTTACACAGAGCAAAACTTTCACCTCTATGAGAATTTGGCTCTGTGTAAACATGTGTCTGTGTCATTTTGGCTAAAAGCTAACAACAAGTCATCAGTCCAGAGAGGGCTATTAAAAAAAGGCTCTGGGGAAAGTCGAAGCAGACTTTTTCTTTTCCACCTCATTTCACGAGTTGATGTCAGTTCTGGACACTTAGACTCTCTCACTTATGATTGACAAACACACTTAACGCTTCTCTTAGGGTTTCCTGTTCATACCTGACCGCAGTTGTGAAAATATTTGTGGACGTGGTCACTTTTTCCTGCAGTAAATTAAAGTCAACAGACCTGCCCGTCACAGTTCTCTCACGGCGGTTGCCCGTATTGACCAACCACTGCCCCCAGCCAGATACTTACCACATCCTGTACCTGTGCTCCACCTGGCTGCTGCGGCAGACGCACACATACTGTGAGAGAACGACGGTGTGTTTGTACAGGTTTGTACAGGGGACCACATCTAATTGTCCATGACCTGTACTACAGAGCGTAAACGTTATTTTTACTTTTAAACTTTGATCATATGGAGAAGTTTCTGTGCTCCTTTAGGGAAAATAATAAAATAAATCCTCATCGCTCTGTTGGGTCTACAGATCTTTAAAGCAATAAGTAATTAAAGCTGAGTCATTGTTTTTGATATGTGATGTCTCTATAATAATAATGGAAAAACATCTGAATTTGTTTTGTTTGTTTTTTTTCTTTTTTCCAACAGTTCTTTTGTTTTTGACACCTGAAGCCCAGGATGCTGGTGACCATGTTTTTGACTTCTGTTTTCGTGCTACTGATGCTGGGTGAGTGTGCCCTGGCAGGAGGATACCCCCCTATGCCCCACATGAAGTACATGCAGCCCATGATGAAAGGGCCCATAGGACCCCCATTCCGAGAGGGCAAGGGACATTATGTTGGTAAGTGATCCCCATAGTGTCATTTACAGTCTGTGTGTATTAATCACAGTTGTCCTAGCTACGGTGAAATGTTCCTGGAAGCACAGCTTTTCTATACTTCCACATAAAGTAGTGCCTTCTTGGTCTTCAGGCCTGAGACCTCATCACGACAGTTGTTCATCTGCAGCGTGTTAATGTACTGTTTAACACATGCTCTTCAGATGTAAGATAAGTAGAAGCCCGATTAAACATTATGGATTAAGTAACAGACTCCAGTAAGGAACTTCAGATATGGAGGGGCCCTAGACACAGTCCTTAGGAACCAGTTAGCATCCTAATTGTACAGTATTTGACGAATGTAAGTGAGGGATTGTGCTCAGATAATGTAGTTTGACTCCAATTTAAAGAAAGAAGTTCACTGCAGGAAAGGACATTATTTTACTAATAAATTTGAGAAATAATTTTAGAGAAGGTAAAGAGTTAGGGTTATAACAATAAACGGCCTTAATCATGACGCTGTGTGGCTCATACAAATCATATGCTATTACTGCCACCTAGTGGACATAAATCCGCATTACGCAACAGTAAATAAGGGAGCGTTCTAATGGTTCTTAACTGTGCAGCAGTTCTGTTTTGCAAGACAGAACAATAATTTACAGTTTTTCTTAAATGCATTTAAACAAATATAATAATTTATATGCTGTTTCACATTAAGACACATTTCTTGAAAAGCGCATAAGCTGCCTAAAGATAATGAAAAAAAGTACAAGTAGAATCTGACTAAACAAATTGTAATTGTAAAAATGTATTTATAGAGAGACATTTGATCCTGTCCACGCGATTTAATTTAATTTTGGCATAATTATTGTAATAATTATTGTGATACTCTTGCAGTGTTTATATCTTGTAAACCATGTAATACACGAAGGTTTACTTCAGCTTTACAAATAAATGTACCTGATGTAAACAACTATAAAATATTAACTATCACTGTACTTTTACTCTAATCAATACCTCAATACTGCATCATGAAACAACGAACACAAACTAAAACAGAGCCTGAGGTTTTCGTGGATAAAGTGCTATGTGCAGTTTGGCCACAGGGTGGCACTAATGCCAACATAAGTATTACTTTTTCACATTACCTTTGTAGAGGTGAAGAAATCCATTGTTATTGTATTATTTTACAGGGTTAATTAATTCACCTTCCTTAATTTTAACGACTGGAACTTTATCAACAGGTAAGGACAGAGGTTTTTTATAAAATTAAAAATTTGTTGACAATTCTTTCACTTCATTGTTGTTTTATTACAACTATATCCACCCTAATATTATCATCCGTAGTTTTCTTGCCACTTTCATGTGAGTTGACGTTTCTTACTAATGGCCACTTGGGGAAGCCCTGTGCCACATTATAATTAAAACCTTTTTTGAAGCCTTACATAATAAAACTCTAGGGATTAACCCTTTCCTCTGTTATTGCTTTTTAGATGTTCTTGATGTTCTTGAGTAAATAGTTGAAGACTAATGTTGGTTGTTTCAAGAACAATTTCCGGGTTAAGAAAGTGATGGTTTATGGAGTTTATGATAACAAAAACCTGTCCTTAAAATAGAAATTCAGCTTTTAGACGTAATGTGGGATAAAGGTTAGCAAAACAAGTGTCCTCGGGCCAACAGTCTCGAAGACAAACATGTTAACATATTGGTGCTGAGATGACGTTCTGTAACAAAAGGTCAGCCAAACTCACCTCAGAGATATTCTTGTGTCCTAAAAACAAAACTCATATTTCCTTCTGGTCATTTTGTAGTCTGCTGTACTCATATTGATAATGGGACTGAGTGTTTCTGGTTCTTCAAATTATTACATTTGGAATTTATTCTTAAAATATATAATGTCAGTTGTTTCATAGGCAGCTAAAAAAAAACTAAGCACTGTATCTGTTTTAGGGAATTAGAGTGTTGGAATTGTAGTGGTGGGGGATAGTCCTACCTACAGAAGGAGAATTGAAGAAGAACTGGTCTGGATGACTAAACAGATTGAGTGACAAGAAGTTCACTCTCAGGAGTCAAATTAGACAGTACAAATGAGCTTACTGATTGCTTATTTCCATTGCAGTTCATTTCAGTTTATGAGTAGTACCCATCTACTGGAAAACTGCAAATAAAGTACTTCCGAGAAGGTACAAACATACACAATATCTCCTGTACACTGTAATGCTAAAATCAAATTAGTCAAGGTGAAGGATGAAGAACGTTATCACGGCTTAAGTTAAATATGCAGAAAACCCATCTATTCAGAGAATACGTACTAGTTTCCTGTTCCTGGAGTCTGTTAGTGTAGGTGATACATTTTTGATTTACTTGTAACCATTGTTTTTTTGTTTTTTTTTTTTTGGTGTTTTTGCTTCTCAGAGTTATTATTTATATCAGGTTCTTACAACAGACATTTTTGATTTCAAAAATTGTATTAACAATAAAATTCCTATTGTGTTGTTAGATATGCCACCCATGATGGAAGTGAAGGGGGAACCAGGCCCTCAAGGAAAACCCGGACCAAGGGGTCCACCTGGGCCACCAGGGCCTCAAGGAAAACCCGGACTTGGGAAGCCAGGTCTCAATGGCCAGGTCGGACCTCCAGGGCCTCCTGGCTTTCCAGGATTAGGTAAACCTGGACTTTCAGGTCTTCCAGGAAAGATTGGACCAAATGGTATGCCAGGGTTAACTGGTGAGGTTGGACCTCGGGGTGAACCTGGCCCTAGAGGTCCTCCAGGGCAACCTGGCCTTCCTGGACCAGCTGGCCTGTCTCTAAATGGCAAACCAGGACTCCCAGGTATAAGAGGCCCCCCTGGGGCACGAGGAGAACCTGGACTAAAGGGTATTCCAGGCCTAAAAGGTGAAAATGGGATTAAGGGTGAGAACGGTATTGGCAAACCAGGGCCTCCAGGTATTAGAGGACCTCCTGGGCTCAAAGGCAATAGTGGACTACCTGGTGTACCAGGTATAGGAAAAACAGGACCAAAAGGTTTGCCTGGAATGCCTGGTGTTAAAGGAGATCAAGGACTTCCTGGGAATCGAGGAGAGCCAGGAGAGGCAGGAGTCCCTGGGCCACAAGGTCTTCCAGGTTCAGTTGGAATAGGTAAGCCTGGAGTGGATGGACTGCCAGGAGCACCAGGTCCAATTGGACCAAAAGGTGAATTAGGATCGAGGGGACCGCCTGGGTTTCCTGGGCCCCCTGGCTATGGAAAGCCTGGTCTGGGTGGACCAAAAGGAGAAAAGGGCAATGGTGGGTTGCCTGGGCTACAAGGAGACAAAGGAGAGCAAGGAATGATGGGCCCAGTTGGAGAGGCAGGTCTTGATGGACAACCAGGGCCTCCAGGACTTCAAGGACCAATGGGACATCCAGGTAAACATGGGATGCCTGGACAGAAGGGAGACCTGGGGCCACAGGGCCCTCCAGGACTTCCTGGCCTCAGAGGTGACCAAGGACCAAGTGGAACCCCTGGAAAACCTGGCATTTCTGGCGAAAAGGGTTTCCCTGGGCTTAATGGAGCACTTGGAAAACCTGGCCCTAAGGGAGAAGCAGGACATATTGGCCTGCCGGGTAATCCAGGACTGACTGGGGCTCCAGGACCTAAAGGTGAAGCAGGGTTCATTGGGCCTCCAGGCCCCAGAGGACAGTCTGGCACTCCTGGCCCTCAAGGCCCCATTGGTCCCATGGGGCCCCAGGGTGCTCCAGGGCTGAAGGGCGAAACTGGGCTACCTGGGCTTCCAGGATTAGGAAAGCTGGGAGAGAAGGGAACTATAGGTCCCCAAGGTCCTCCAGGAAAACCTGGCCCGTCTGGGCTTAATGGTCCTCCTGGCCCTCCTGGGCCACCGGGACCACCTGGGCCCTCAGGAAATGGTCAAACAGTGGTTGCGGGGGCAACAGATTCACAGTTGGAAGGAGGTGAAATACCACCGGACAGGAAAGGGTCAGTGTACAGCCAAGTTCCTCTCTCCGCCTCTGTGGCACCCGCCTTCACGGCCATCCTCACAACACCATTCCCTCCCTCTGGCATGCCAATCAAATTTGACAGGACCCTGTACAACGGGCAGAATGCGTACAGTCCAGCTACTGGAATGTTCACTGCTCCCTTATCTGGCGTCTACTACTTTGCATACCATATGCATGTAAAGGGAACTAGCCTATGGGTGGCACTCTACAAGAACAATGTTCCAGCCACCTACACGTATGATGAATACAAAAAGGGCTACATGGACCAGGCATCTGGCAGTGCTGTTCTGGAGCTGAAGGAAGGTGACCAGGTCTGGGTACAGATGCCTTCAGATCAGGCAAACGGCCTCTATTCAACAGAGTACATCCACTCTTCCTTTTCAGGGTTCCTTCTCTGTCCCACATAACCTCCTCCATCACCAGCGTCCATAAATATCTCGATATCATCGACAAGATTAACTTTGTGAATGAAATGAAGAGTTTAAATAGCAGGGGATGAAATGAAATACTGTGCTCTTTGTTTTTGTGTCCTTCAAGTGTGTGTGTTTCACATTGGTGTTTTTTTTTTCTAGCTTATATTATTGTAATTACGACATTGTCGTAAATGTCCTGTTTGTATTTGGTCCTCGTCATCATTATAGTTGCTGTACGTTTTCTTCTGACGATAAAGTGCCTTACATCGTAATGTGCTAGTACCAGACCAGCTTTGACTGCACATCCAGCCCACAGTGTTTTGACATCACTAGGACAACATAACCAAACCCTGGGGGTGATGTGTTATTCTGGCCATAATCCCACCCTGTCATTATTTAAATTGCATATACTGAGACATTTTTGACCAGCAATTAAAAAGAATGAAGAGGGTTTTTTTTTTCTTGAAATACTATCAATCTTCTGTATCTTTCTAAATTTACTATCTGACTGTTAAAATGATGGATGTTGGTATTTCCTACAATCAACCAAACTCAATCAAACACACAAAAATAAAACGTCAGGCGGAGACAAAGAGTTTCCATTTCCTCTCTACACCGTTGTGTGAAAATTATCTGGTTTATTGTTAAGCTTAATAGATCATCTGGCTCAAAGGGCGGGAGGTTTTAGAAGTGGTTAACGTCAAAGTAAACAGCTGAAAATGAGATTCAGCGAGCATTTACTCCATGAATAAGTAAAAGAGACTTGAGCGATGCCCACGGGTTGCAAAATACTGGTTGCGTAACTTTCAACAAATGCCTACCAGTTTTCTGGGTGAGGTGGTAGGCTAGAGGTGAGAGCTTTGTATTAACTCATTTCTGGTGGATAAGTCATTAACAATACAAGTGTGTGTGTGTGTGCCTGTGAATGTATGTGTTCTTAAAGGTGTACCTTTTGCTCTGTCACTGTGTAAATATGTGTGTGAGCATGCATGTGTATGGCAATGGTTACACCTTATGCCCCTGGCATTCAGGTCTTGAAGGCTTCAACGTAAAAACACAAATAAACTTGAATAAACTGACAAAACGTTGGCAAGAGCTCACAGCCCATTTTTGTTCCAGAAGAAACTGGAGAAAAAATACCTGCCGATCTAATGGTTCTTTAGAAAAGCGAGAAAAAATGTGGTCACGTGTCATGGATGGTTTACAGGAGACATAAATGACAGGATATGATTCAGAGAATGCAGTAGGAAGATAACATTTCTGATAACACTGAATGGGCTATTTTATGTAGACTGTCGCTCCAATGAGAGGTATAATGGTGTGCAATAATTCTGTGTCCGACTACGTCATGACCAAAGAGAAGTACAGTATACCAGATGTTTATTTTTATGGTCAGGGTTCATCAAAACAATTGGAAAACATGGCTTTAAGGATAAGCAAAAAAATCTAGATCTTCTCAAACACCATCATTACACATGATTATGACTACCTTATTCCCTGAGGAGGAATGTCAGTGTACACTTTAACGGTCCTAAACTGAGCTTAGCCTTAAGAATGAATGTCTACTGTTTGAGTGGTTTTGTTTTGTTGTTTCTCCAAAACATGTTGTGTCCCTATACATAACAGTAAGTTGATCTAGAAGGGCACTGCTCGGAGAAGGCCAAATCAGTATTTTATGTATAGGTATATAATACAATACTGCACTTGCAAAACTCTTTTCATCTGATAATGTACCACATACACCCAAAAATGCTTTATATCATTTTTGTTAGCTCTACACAGCGGTCCATGGCTAGTTATGTACTGTATGTTGCCTTTTTGTCACTTTCTTTTTAATTTTATGATTTATGGTGATGTAAGTTACATGTGGCTAATACTTAATGTCCTTTTTTTTTTTAAATTTTGACGTATAAGACAATGTCACTTGCTTGCGTAGTTTGCCCAGGTATGCAAAACATTAAGTGAAGTGTCAGTAAAATTCATGTATCGTCTCAGTCATCACATTGCTTCTTTGTGTTTTGTTTAACTTTATAAAAATTAAGTAAAAAAATGGAAATAAAACAAAAAATAATAAAAATAAAAATAGCCTTGCTTCGGTTTTTAAGGGATGTTTGTTTGTCTTAGCTTAGTAATAATAATACAAACGGTAATTCCCATTTGCACATGAAATTTATGAAGATGTATTTATACATTTATGATAATTTAATAGGGATACAAAAACCGACTACCGAAGCCTAGAACGTATAAATGGTATTTAACAGCATTGAGTTAAGAGCCTTTAATATTTTCTAGTTAGCATTTTAGTGTTGTTTGTGAAGGATTTTTATTTGTGGACTTGTTTTATAAAATGCACTCTTTTTGATGGAAAATGTTTGTCTGCTTATATAAATTCTACAGTACTTGATTGTATTGATACCACATCAATAAAACTTTTCTTGTACGATGGAGTCCGTCTATCATTTCTGTCCGCTACAGTACAGTACATGGCAATTTTAGTAATAATATTTACAGCAATTTTTGGTTCAAGATTGAATGTGACGAACGACCACATAATGTGTTGCAAGTCGAGAGAATAGACACTAGAGGGAGATATTTAATTACAGAGTCGCTGACCAATTCTTGTCTGAGTTGCCGTAATGTTTACATCAAAAACAGCGTTTGTCCTACCAAATTCAAGTTACATCAGATGTCAGTTCGTTAGTTATTTTATTTAAAAAATATATTTACATACTTTGACATCACTTAATTGTCTGGTTTTTTTTTCAGTTTCTGGTGTTGTGGTATAAACAGTACACATAAATATTTGCAGTGTTTTAGTGTTGTTCAAAGGTTACTAGGTAAACCATGACAAAGATTCATTCTTTCCTAAGGATAGTCATTCTTCTGCTTGATCAGAATAAGATAGCTTATACAATTCGCTTTGATTCTTCTTTTTCAAGCTTTACCACGTAAACGCTCCACGTTCTATGAGTTGCATTACCGCCACCGTCTGGGTAAATACTCATATTCAGAGACCAGCCTGACAAAAAAGGAGAGAAAGGTTAGCATCGTTGCTAATTATTTCTAATATGTTGGTATTATTAATTTTAACCACATATTAATACATTGATATATTACATGATATATGTGTGTGTGCGTGTGCCCTTGTGACGTTCACTTTACTTATTATAAAATCTCCCTCTTTGAAAAACCCCAAAAATCTGTAAACGTCCTAGTGTGAAAAGATTCAAAAGCCGGATTTAGAAATTAGAGGCCTGAATGAACGGAGGGAATTAAAATATGTATGTTCCCAAACCACGAGGGCAGAGATAATATTGTGTACTTATTTTCTGGAACTGTCGTCACCATGGTGAGCTGTCATCACGCACCCGGATTCTTCTTACGTCCTATTGACGCCATACCCTGAATGCTGCATTCAGTTGACGTTGGAAAAATCGCTATCTTGGTTAAGTACTTGACAATAGGGGTTTTACGTCAGCACGCCTGGTTTCGTGGAATCGAATAACAGGATTCAAAGTGGTTTGAGCAAACTGTCGTGGTGTATATATTTTATATTTAACTGCACAATTATTCTCATTATCATGTGTGAGGTCTGCCATAACATTTATTCATCAATAAAACGCAAACATTAAACCTGTCTTTTTTAGTTTAAGCTATTAATGTGGGTGCTAAAGAGGCAGGTTGAAATAAATGACATTTGTGAAAAACAATGTAGAATTCTCAAAAACGTTCCATGTTGACACCCAACTCGTTTTTCGCTGTAGTAACGTGTCATCAACTTTGGTCGCCTTGAAAGAAGTCACATTTCCGAGGCATGAGGGTGTCGACAAACCTAGGAGGCTCCTCCTCGACAACAGATCTCGACTTCCGACGAGAAGCTGCCACATTGAAGAGGAACAAAACGGCGACCTGACAGCAGTTTCTGCTCTCCCTCCACTTTCTTCGGGTAGTCACGGGATTTCAATGTTCAGCCTGCACTTTGTAAGTTGCTAATAACACACCAGCTTTTAAAAACAAACAAAAACTCAACACTACTCGTCTCTATTATGGTCTTACACTTAGTAGTACCGAATCCGATTCGCTGAATTTCCGTGAAAAGTTGAGTTTCATATTTTGAATCCAGCATATATGACAACTAGAACAAGGATCAACTAACTAAATTAGTAATTGTGTTAGTAGACGTTACTCTGTAGCCACGTTAACGTTAGCTCGCTCCGCAAACCCTAATCAGTCGCCTGTTTGCTGCGTATTCTGTGGAAATTTGTGCTCGTGAAGACACTTATCACAATTTTCGTTTCGCCTGCTATCATTGGAATTAGCTTAATGTTATTCTTCAAATGATGACACCCAAAATGTCTCTATAATGTCGCTGAGAAATTATAAAGTACGAAGCCGAGCTAACCAGATGGCTAATGCTAGCTAGGTTAGTTTGCTATCATAGCTGTAGCGATTTTTTTTCTCCACAAAAAGCCCACGGAACTATTATCTATTAACTATTATCGTTAAGAGTAAATTTATCCTAAACGTGTTCTAATGTTTTTAAATGATGTGTATACATTTGAACATTCATGGTCGAATGGCACATTGTTGTTGTTCTCACTCGACGACTTCATTTTCAGAAAATGTAGCTAATACCCTTCCAGCTGTACAATGAGGTCTGGGTGCATTTCTGTGAGAAAATATTTAACACTCCACTACAGCGTACTGGTTTATTTTTTAACAGTATGTTTAACGTTTATGTTGGTTATATTTCTGAGGTTTAATAAAATAACCCTTGGTTCCTCTATACGTTTTAGCTGCGTTTTACACGGTGTGCTCTTAACAGACATCTGTGGCTCTACAACTTGTGACTGTAGGTACATTGCGATTAAACCAACTGCCTTCCGCCTTTTAGGTGACAAACTGTGACCCCAGCCATGAGTCATTGATTTTGTATGCTGTCTGACAGCTTATCAATTTTAATGTAAAAGTGAAGTTAATATGCGTTAATGTTGTCTTTTTTGTTATTTTTACTTGCCGGTTTCACTTCATTTTTACTTTGTTTAATGAGAAGTAGATCAAAGCCAGGGTTTGTTGGGTCTATAATTTAGCCCTGCTTGGCTTTTTTAACCAGGCAGCACCCACCCATATTGTACAGCCATGTGGGCTGAAGTGAAATGAGGAAATGTAGCAGGGGAGGAAGTAGACCAGAGCAGCTGTGACACTAAAGGCCGCAGCACATTCCCATGCCTCTCAGTTTTCAATTTATGACCTTCCAGTGGTTGAAGCCACCTCTCTACGAGTCAATCCCACAGAGAAGTTAATATGAAAGAGTAGCAATGGCTTATGCAGGAGTTAATAAGT